TAAAAAAAAAATTTTTTTAAATTCCAGATTAAAAACTCAAAATGTGTAGCAATAAAATCAGGACCTTAAAATATAATTAGCATGAATGCATTTTATGTGAAATGTAATAAATGCATGATGGGGGAACTAAGGGAATAATTTGGAATTATTGTTGTTTAGTTTTTAGAACAAACGATGCTTTTTGCTCTGCTTTTATTCCACGCTTTGTTGTCGGCTTCACCTGTTTTTACTTTCTGCTCCCCTCAGCTTCGTCTCTGCTGCATTGTGCATTCTTCAAATCTTCCTTTCTRGCCAACTTCTGTTGAAGAATGGTGCTCTGACAGGCAGGTCTGTTTTCAATCAACTTGTTCTGTTGCCTTTTCCCACAGCCTGCAGCTGCTTTTGAGTCTTCTTCAGCTGCTATTATAAACTGTCTTTTTCAGACATGTTCATAGGTCTGTTCTGTTTTTTTCCCCCCACATTTTAATTTTTTTGGGTGGAATCCTATAGTAACAAAAAAAAAAACTTTTCAAAAAAATAGTACAAAGAATTGTTTGCAGTTGTGGGAGGATTGTGCGGTTGTTCTCGGATGTATCGCAGCACCATCCCTCTGCAGCTGAACTGTGGACTCACCTGACCACAGCARGGTCTGAGCTGGTTTTTTGACTTTGAATGTTTGCTGCGTCTACCTCTGCACCTACAAACAAACTGTTTGATTGTATTTAACAGACAGATTTACTGCTTTTCTTGCTGGTTCCAGTGGAAAACCTAAAGGAACTCAAAGTAAATGTCACTGAAAAAAGAAAACCAACACCAACACGCTGAAATACACTTTTTATTAGTCAGCCTGTTTGTTTAACAGAAAGKTTACAGATTTGTTAAATGCACTTTGTCTCATTAATTCCCTTAGTAGCCGCTAGAAAAATACATTTGAAAGTTCATGCATAAAAAAAAAAAGAAATGGCTGCAGGCATGCTTTAGTATATGTTTATGTAAAGTTTCATTTTTACAAATGCACTTGCTGTTACACATGCATCTTTTTGCCATCAGCTAGATTTACCCTCCAACCTCAGGGAAACACAAGTCAGCTATGAAAAATGGAAATTGTGTGCGTATGTTTTATTCTTTCTTTCTCTCATTTCTGAGTGAATGTGCAGAGGCAGTGGACATGAAGGTGCTGCTCTGCCCCCAAGTGGTTCAACCAGGTGGTGTCAGCATGAAAACCAAACATCATCTTYTTGAGACAAAAAAGTACGGAGCCCGCGAGGGGACATGGGAGATTTTTTTTCTTTTGCGTTCCCACGCAATACTATGGAAGCCCATTTACGCCACCCTGATAAAAAAATGAATAAAACTTGTATCTCATAATTATGAGATGGTATCGATACTATCTCATAATTATGACTTAGCTCATGATTATGAGATAGCTAAGTCATAATTATGACTTAGCTCATGATTAGAAATTATGAATTAGCTCATAATCATGAGCTAAGTCATAATTATGAGATAGTATCGATACCATCTCACAATTATGAGATACAAGTTTTATTTTTTTATCAGGGTGGTGGAAATGGGCTTCCATACAATACTATTGCATTACCTCGCAAAAGTAGTTTATCACTGTTGTGCCTGCCGGTTTATTAACAAACTCACATGTTCACCATTAGCGAGTTAGCCTACAGCTTTAATTCAGCTTCAGAATGAATATATCACACAACCATGTATGGAAGTATTCCGATATTTTAACACAGTACAGCCACACAACATCAATGTCAATTTCACGAACTTGTGGCGACACATCCTGTTTTGGTAACCGGATATTTCAAAATAAAAGTCTGATTTAATTCAGTTCATATACAAAAACTTTTGTGTAGGCTGCATTTTTGAGCACAGATCCACTGGGACACTTGCTGTTTCAGCAACATTTAATTTAAAAACTGTACTTTTGGGG